CCCCAAAACCCCAAAACCCCAAAACCCCTTACCTCAATATAATTATTCAAATAAATCTCCATTAACCCCCAAACCCCTATGGAAGAGTTCTCCCCCAGTAACCACCAGCCAAGCCCCAAAATAGAGATCGTCAGGAAACCCAAGAAGGCCATAACAGAGCTTTATAAATAAGCTTGAAGTTAATGAGACTTCTAACAGAGGCGCCCCAAAGACTTGGGTGGATAGTTTAAGCCTTAGGGGATTTAGTAGACCACAAGGGTTGAAGAGGAAGAAAAAGAAGGTTTCTTATAGGCAGAATAGGAAGATTCGGATGTCTCAGATGGCCTCTAAACTCCAAAGCTCGACCCCCCACGAGCACAACTTCAATTCCTTCCTCTCAATGTTCACTCCCAAAACCCCCCTCTGCCAGCAAAGACCAAGTTCCCAGTCACGCTCAAGAAGAAGGCCTCCCACTGAAGTTCACCCTACTGGCCAAATTCAGAATTTGACTCTGCAGAAAAGGATTTTAAGTAAAGACCTTTAAGGGGCTTTAGACATGAGAATTTAGGGGCTTCTGGTAAATTAGAGGTACGTTGGAAATGAAATAGGTGATAGATTGGTGATGGAATGTTGGAGGGAAGAAGAGAATGGAGGAAAAGAAAGGGATTTAAGAAGCAAGTAAGTGGTTATTAGTGGTTGTTTTAAGGCGTTGGGATTGTAAATGAGATATTAATGTGATAAACAGGGAAAGTGAAAAGGTATTTCAAGAATTATTTAAGACAATTTTTATCGAAATTTTTAATGCTCTAATGAGTGTTATTGTGAAAATAGAAGATGAGTGGATTGATAAAGATATTACTATTGGAAGTCAAGACATATTCCAAATAGATTTACGTCCAAAAACAAGTAGTAACAAGAGAACAAGACTAGACCAAACTATCAAAGAAATTCAAGTAGAACAATCTCATTCCCGAAAAAGTGCATTTTTTCATATAAATTTAGGCCATTACAGCATAAACCAACCAAAAAGAGCCATCAAAATATCAACGATAAACAACCCAAAACCCAACCCCCACGCTTACCTGACAACCCAAACCACGCTCCAAAATTAACTCCTCTCCAATCCGCACCCCAAAGCCCAATTCCCTGCACTCTCCCCAACCCCCTTCCATCCCCCACCCCTCCGCTTCCAACTACAAGCCCAAAATAATCCGTCCCATCACCACTCGGCTGCAAGCTCACTCCCAAATCCCCCATTCTTCATCCAAAACTCCTCGTACGTCAGTCCTAACCCTACATAGTCAACAAATAGCCTATATTCTAAGAAAAACGGTATTTACATGCTTAAAATAGATGGGCAAAGTCTGAATAATACGAGAGGGTTTTTTAAGCCTAGTGCTATAAACATGGAGACGGACCTTCAGAGTGTAGGTGAAACAAAGGGATTTTAGGGAGGATAAAGAGAGGTTTTGGGTAAAGATATTGGGAAGATGTGATGAGACTGGTTTAGGAGAGGGATTTTGGATTTTTAATAATGATAATGAGGGTTATTTTATTTAAGTTTTCGTAAAATATTGGTCAATTTGGGCTTTTGTCTAATTAGTTACGTCCTAAGTTCTCACAGATCTTTAAAAATGAGAAACTGAGTAATAAGCAGTCAAATCAGTTGACAATTTCAAGCAAAAAGGTAGGATGAGGTTAATTAATCAGAAATTATCAATTTTTATCGAAATAAGCATGACAGCTCCTCTAAATCTCGAAAATCCATTATTACATTACTTTTCTTCCCAAATATACAAACCTAGAAGAATATAATACCCAAAAATCACCCAAACTTAACATCGCCCTAAATCTCCCAAAATAAGTTTCGCCATTGGAAACTCCCGATTCCCAAATCAAAATTAGGGCGCTAGATTCTCGCCTTATTCTTAGTAAAAATTTCTAACACGCACAAAGATTTAAGAGACTGAGAGGTTTAGTTTCGAACTTTATAAATCTTGATTTCTGTTCACCAATATTGTTTAGAATTCTGTTAATTCCTTAATTTATCAGACTTTAAGTCTTTATCTGTTAAGTTAGGACTAATATTTCTTTAGTATCCAATGCTCCAACTTTCACAAAATACCCGTCGCTTAAATCCACAAGGTCAGCCATCAACAAGCAGTATGCAAGGAACCCCTGTTAACTGTCTGCCTCCTAAGTTCTTCAGTATAACAGTATCTCCCAAGAAAAAGAAAGTCAGGTACAAAAGTCTTACAAAATAAAATTTCAATATTCTTTTTATAATTAGGGGTTTTGGGGTTTTGGGGTTTTGGGG